CCTCCTCCTCCGCCCCCACCTCCACCTCCTTCCCCCCCAATATATCCAAGCACTCAACCTAGTTATTCTTATCCTCCACCACCACCACCTCCTCCTTCTCCACCACCACCACCTCCTCCTCCACCACCACCTCCGCCACCGCCACCTCCTCCTCCTACACGTCGCACATATTTACCTCCACCTCGGCCACAACCACGACCTACACGTCCGCCTGCTACATATCTACCTCCTGTCAACCAACCTGTGTCTGTATCAACACCCGCGCCTACATATTTACCACCGTATGGACAACAAGGATTCGCATCACCAGCTGCAAGTGCTTCCTTTGTCCCCGGTACTTCAGGTGGTCTTTCAAACTTTCCAGTAACAGGTGGTATAATAAAGTTGAGCGGACCAGCTCAGGGTTTGAGTTTCGCGGCCAGTCCTTCAGGTGATTTTCCAAACTTTCCAATAATTGGTGATGTGATAAAGTTGAGCGGACCAGCTGAGGGCTCAAGTTTTGCGACCGCCTCAAGTTCAGCCAGCGCTAGTGCGTCGAGCGGAACGTTTATTGGACAACAAAATTATCCGAGCCAATCTTCCGTCTCCACTGTGAGCTATCCTTCCACATCGGGATATCCGTCTGTAACACCGGGATATTCCTCGGCAACACCAGGATATGGTTAACTCTATCACTGGCAAGAGTTAAATACTCTTCAAAATTACTCAGTATTCATTCCTCATCCACCTATTTAATTAATTTGGATATTTAAATTATTCCACGCGAAATTTTATAATTTTATAAACACCAAGGACAGTATCAATAATATGAGGAGCACCGACTACCATTTGGCCATCATGATATCTTATAATTAGATTAGCAATATGTTATGCTCATGAAATTTGAAGAACTTGTTTGCAATTTATAATCAACTGAAATGAAATTTTTACATTGTTCAAGATAAAAATCAAGATAAAGAAAGAGATTTTTATGATGTATCTAGATATATTTCATGAAAATTGATAATGAATTGTCTATTCTTTATTTTTAAAACGAAACAAGTGAATATTTAGAGGATGAACTAAAATGTTGAAAGTATGTAATGAAAGCGTGCAAATCTTATAATAATTTAATTCCTGTTTTCGATGGATTCACTGTATTGATAAAGTAACTTAATTAATAGTTTTACAATGGAAAATCTTAGATTTAAGTCTGAAGAGAAAATCTTATGTGAAACAAATTAGTTATATTTTGATATATCTTTACAATCGACAAAACATCAGTGATATATTCATAATAAATATATTTATATATTTAAGCACAATATTTCTTTCTCGTTGTGGCAAATAAAGTAAAAAGTCAGTGGGCTATTAACTTTTTCACATTTATCATTAAGTTAAATTTAAAAATACTCACATGAATTTGATTAACCTTATTTAAATATTTTAATTACGTACAATTTGTTTTTCCAAAAATTAGGTCATCTCAAAATCATTTACATAAAACAAACAACATTTCATCTGCAACGATTCAATCAATATCAGAAATATTTTTAAGTCCATCACAATTTTCTATAAACATCTAACAAGCGAACGATATTAATCATTTTAAATATATCCTACAGTTATTCACGATCATTCCCCGATCATATTTCATTATGCAAGGAAGGTATTTGGATGAGTTTCATCTCATATTGTAATCGACGATCTACTAGGAATGATTGGCGACTTCTTATTCAGTAAAAAACTACAAATCAACGTAAGATTAGACTATGAGATGCGACACGTCGGCAGTGTAGGCGGCAGGCGACAATCGGATGTCGTCGGAGCGAGGGATTGGCCGTTGTCTTAGGTCGCTGTCACCGGGCCAAGCGCGACCTGGACTGCGCGAACCCACGTTTGCCCTGGCGACTGTGTCGACCGCTAAGCTCACCGTTGCGGGATCGTTCAGACCGTTGCTCTGGATCCTTCGCTGCGTGACTATCGATGCCCGCAAAGTTTTCCGTTTCTGCTTACGAAACAATAGAATGCAATAATTGACGGTAAAAGTGTATGAGATACGATCTAATAGTGCTAAAGTCTCATGGAAATAAGGATTAAGTATCTCAAAAGTAGATTTTAAGGATTTCTTGTTAGGTAACTTTAAGAAATTCCTTAATAAATAATTTTAAGACAATGCTTTCGCAAGTAAAATTGTACCGTGACCGGAATAACTTAATTATTTCGATTAATTTGTAATTTAATTAAATCAATCCTGTCAACTTCTTTAAATTGATTAAATTGAATTACCTCGATCATCCCTCGCCACTTGTCGGCGGCGTGTCTTGCTAGTTCCATCTTTCTCTGTTTACGTATTTGATGCTTCTTGTATGCCATTTCGATTATAATTAGAGCGACTCCGCCGCCGATACCAACACCGACGACGATGAACACCCCTGCCATGTTCTCCAGGCCGAGAGTATTTGGCATTTTTTCAAATTGCTCGCATTGTTGCACATTGCCATGCAAGATCCAAAGATTATCGAGGCTTTCCATGAAACCACCTGGAAAAGAATCATAATTAGAAGAAAGTAACAAATCTCGCTGAAACGAAAATTGGAATTGCGCGAGTATGAAGTGCTTTGCATGAAGACTTGTTGCACACTCACTTTCGTGGAAGTCTAAGATCGCCAATGTCACAGCATCCGCCCAAGGCGATCCTTTTTGCAAACCAATTCCGTAACCTGAACGGCCAAATAGTTCACCAGCCGTCACTAATTCGCAATCTTGAGCTGCTTCGAATTCCAGTCGTGAGCTATCCCAGATAAAGGCCATCAATTTCCTGACGGGAAAAAGAGCAATGTGATCACGTTGACGTGCAAAACATATTAAATGACACGATTATTGATGTCGATAAAAATATTTAAACGTCTGTTAAATAGTTCGTTAATAGAATATATGTTAGATTGTGCTTCAATTATTTTACACAACATACGAGGTCGAAAATACTGAAAGCGTAATGAGATTTTAAGATTATAGATTTAATACGTATTTAATAATTCAATAATCTAAAATTTTCAACTTAAGCAAAGGATTAACGGTCCTAAAAATCGCAATGCTTACCCAATTTTAATGTCGCGAATCGCATCTTCGGCAGTGTCATAGTTATTCGCCTCCATTGTACGATACATATTAGACAATTCTACTTGGCGTCTAAAGTACATGTCCACGGCAGATCCCTTCACTGTTGCACATGTCAAATTCTCCATCGTATTCCTGAGCTTTACAAATAAACGTCACAAGTGTTTATATCCGATTGCATACCAGATACATTGATTCTCAGTAAGGAACATGGTTAATTTTAATTTTTAATCCTTACTCGAGCGTCGTTGATGCCGGTGAGTTTAGTTTTTGGTCGCTCCAAAACGAGGAACGCCGCCAAATTAGCGGTGTACGATGCGACGATGATCATAGCGAATCCGGCCCACACCATTCCCAGCACACGCGCGGAAAAACTTCGTGGAGTACCTACAAAACATAAATGACAATAAAAAATTTGATTAACAATTAAATGGCCACGTAGAAAACGATTTAAGTCGTATATTCGAGATCTCTAGTTTAAAGATACTTCGACTTGAACTTTAAATTTGTAATTATTTTTTCTTTTCTAAGTTTCTCCCTCCAAGTGCGACATCTGATTATGAAATGAATGAAAAAGAGATGAAAGAGTAATATCTTACCCTCTCCTATACCGCTATTCAATAATACACCCCAAGCGAACCAGATAGCACTGGATAGATTGAGGGCATCTTCCTCAGTGCCGTCAGTGTTGGCCAGTTTGAATCTGCCGAAGGGTGAAAATCGATCGAGTAGATACAAAACCAACGCCACTACGTGCACCGATACCATCACGAGAATCCAAAGGGTATTGCTGAATGGTTGTAAAAAAGAGACTAGAGTGGATGATCTTGAAGGCTAAACTCAGAAAAATATACATATTTATTTTTGCATAAAATGTATGACGTTTTTATCTTGTATAGAGAATTAAGAAAAATACCTTTTTCTCAAGGATAGTGATGCCTTGATACTTGAACGGCTTACTGAATTCGATAAACTCGGCACGCTCTGGATTGATTGTTAATGGTGCGACGATCATGTCCGCTCGTTCGTTGACTATCTCACCAATAAGACCTGTCCATTCTTTCTTTCCTCCAACTTTTGATGTGTGGAAACGCGAGAAAAGAACAGGAAAAAACACAAGGTAGAAATTTAAATTATTAATCCCTTGATGCCTAAAAATTAATTTAGATACTAGATAGAATTCAAATGGATTCTCTGAATACTTTTATCCTTTGTTTAAAAATTTAATATCTTATATTTATATAATATAAAATTCTATAATTCTGTTACTTACCTGAAGTGTTTTTGATCACGTAGCTGCCAAACTGACCATCCGGTGACAGAGCTAAACTGTACGTGAAGTTAATCGTTTTCGACAATTCCTTTAGTAAATCCACACAGTATCCTTTGCAGCAAAATATTTGTTTATCTATTGAAAAGAAAAAAATTAATTATATTCTATTATATTTTCTAAGTAGTTTTGAATACTATTGATCTAACGTAATGGAAACATTAACAACTTCTTTGAGCAGATGTAATGTTTATAGAGAATAAATTAATAAATCTAATAAATTGAACTAAAAATTCTCAAGACACACAACTTGAACCAAACTCCAAATAAGTCAACTAATGATTAATTCAATCAACAGAATCGCTTGTAAATAATTTTAACTCATTGGCTTTAATCTTTTTTTCTATGGGTTAATAGGAAAAAAAGATTAATAGTTCTATCCAAGCTAGTAAGATGACAAATATTATTCCATAAATTAAAATAATAATTTGGTTGAAAACAAGTCTCTACTATTCTGTTAACGCACCGTCTGTTGGATTGAAGTACGGACATGCGATCTCCTCAGGTAGACACTTGACCTCATTATCGGGTAATTCGCGAACATAAACGAATGGCTTTTCCTCGATTGTTAGCACTTTCAAGTGAGTGGGTATCATGAAACCCTCGGGTTTGATCTTCAAACGACCCGGCCATATAATGTTGGATTCGTTCACTCGCAGTTTCATCTTGGTACCATTCTATTCAGTAACAAAGAATCATTACATTCGAACTGTGACTAACACAGGATGTGCCATTTTACACAGGATGCTTGTTAAATTGTCTACTCACAGCGGGATAAAAGTACTGGCCGACGGACATTTGCGTCTTATTGTTGTCTAGACCTGTGTATTGGATGTTAACTATGTCATACTCGGCGAATATGCGGTCCCCGTTATCGTCAAATGCCACTCGACCCGTCGAACCATGCGGTAATACTTGCTTGCGAATATATCTGAAGAGATAAATAACAAAGGATAAAAACAACGTGATAGAACTTCTATTGCTATAATCAGAGATTGATAGAAAAAAAGTTTCGAATTTCTCAGAGAATTAGATATAAGAGATGATCATACTGGAAAAGAGTCTTGCCGGTTTCCCATATGGAGCCGGAATCGCTGCAGTCCTTCGGTGCTTCGGTGATCTTCTCCGTCTGATTCATCGCTCGCAATGCGGATACGAGAACATATCTAAACAGTACGCAGAGAAATAAATGTAGGAAAGATAAGTTTTTAAGGAACTATTTAGAATTTCTTTGAAGTAAGACCCACTAGCTTGTAAAAAAACTCTTATTGTGTTATTTTTTATATTTTCTTTTATTATTACATAATTATATTTAATTATTCGAGATGTATAATATCTAAATAAGCTTAAAAAATATCGATCCCCTAGGTAAAGACAGATACCCAATCAGCACACAAAA